GAGAGTAGGTCAGAGAGTAAGATAGGGCTGGAGAAGGTAGATCTTGTAGAAAGCCATTGAAAGGACTTGGCTTTTACTTTTAGGAGCCACTGGAGAGTTTTGAGCAAAAGAAAGGAAGGGTCTGACTTATGTTTTAAAAGAATTACTCTGGCTGCTCTATGAACAGACTGGGGAAGGGGAGCAGGAGTGGAAGCAGAGAAATTAGTTTAGAAGCCTTTGGAATAATCCAGAGTCAGAGATGACAGTGGAATGAGATCAGAGTTATAGCAATAAAGGTAGTGAAAAGCAATAAATTCTGGATGTATTTTGAAGATAGGGCCAGCAAGAATTTCCTGACACAGTATGGTAACTTAAAAGTGTAAAATAGTTTTTAAAATATACTTTTTATTGATTAATGAGTGCAACAGTTTTGTGAAAAGGTACAAAACAAAATTTAGTTTAAGTCCAGAATTACTAAGAATCTTCTCAGTTTTCTGGATCCCTTATAGAACTTAAAAACATTTTTTTTTTTTTTTTTTTTTTTTTTCAGAAAACCCCTTTATTAAAACTCCATTAAAAGGAACATGTTACGTTTGAATGGCTTAAAATAGCTCAGAAAACTTAGTTGTAGAGATAGCTTCATTGCAGCAGACAACTGTAGGACAGTTCCACTCAAAAATTGTACATTGTCATTAATTTCTGTAAGGATGCTTAATCTAAACATTTCCTTGAAGTGAAAGTTTATAGGATAATCTTAAAGGCAGGATGAGAAACTGCATTGCAAACTATTAAAAGCAGCACTACTGCTTAAGAAAGTAAAGATTGGTCATCAAGAGACTCATCTTAACCCTGTAACTTTGAGTAGGTCATTGTTTTTATCTTGGTTTTTTCATGAGCAAAAATCAGCATGATAGTAGATGTTAGAGAAAACAAGGTATTTTTAGTTATGTGAAAATAGTTATGTCAAAAATAGAAAAGAGGGGCTTCCCTGGTGACGCAGTGGTTGAGAGTCCATCTGCCGATGCAGGGGACATGGGTTTGTGCCCCGGTCTGGGAAGATTCCACATGCCGCGGAGCGGCTGGGCCCGTGAGCCATGGCCGCTGAGCCTGCGCGTCTGGAGCAATGGGAGAGGCCACAACAGTGAGAGGCCCGCGTACTGCCAAAAAAAAAAAAAAAAGATATGTCTGGATTGACATAGTCAAATATTACCATTAAAAATATTTGAAAGGAATTTTCAAATTAAATCAAACAGGCTGCCTATAGACATTGGCCATTAGCTTATTAGTGGGAACTCAAAACAAAAAAAAAAGAAGGCATTCTGTTTTTCTCAGCACAGAAGAAGAATTACCCTGGTTAGTTAATGAGGGCAGTTTTGACTTGGATAGTGAGGGCCAGTGGATAATTCATGTATGTATAAACTATCCAAGTGTCTGAAAGTAAATTTCTTTATAACCTATTACAGCCAATCTCATGAGAGCTGTCTTTCTCCCTTGAGGTGGTAATAGCATACTCAAACAAATGGCAAATCTTTTTGAGGGCAGGATGGCAACAATTTTTTTTTTCTGGTCTAGGATTTCTGAAACATTTTAAAAATCTGAAAACACTTTTATAAATTTTAGTTTCTGAGTTAAGTAAACCTGTAAATCAAATAAAGAAGACACTGCTCTGATGAAGAGTTGGAGAGAGCAACTATTTATTTGCCCAGTGTTCTTTCCCACTTCTAGATGAAAGAATTTTCTCACCAGAATTTGAAAATCACTATATGGTGACTCATGACATAAACTCTGGATCTGACTTCAGAATACTAGCAGGTAGCCTGCCTGAGAGCATCGTTAGTAAAATGAATATGGATGTTCCTCACTGTGTCTAATTGGTAGTTTACTGTAAATTTGGTTTGTTAACCATAAATGTCACACAAAGCTACCTTATTTTTAATTTAAACTTCAGTATTTGTAATTCAGAGACTGCCACTAACAAATTAATTAGGATGTGTTGAAGCCTTAGTATTAAAAATTATCCTCAATATAATAGAGGGGCTTCCCTGGTGGCGCGGTGGTTGGGAGTCCGCCTGCCGATACAGGGGACACGGGTTCGTGCTCCGGTCCAGGAGGATCCCACATGCTGTGGAGCGGCTGGGCCCATGAGCCATGGCTGCTGAGCCTGCGCCTCCGGAGCCTGTGCTCCGCAACGAGAGAGGCCACAGTGGTGAGAGGCCTGCGCACCACAAAAAAACCCAAACAAACATAATAGAGGGGTTTTTTTTGTCTGTTAGATAAAAAGCCTTCCAGTTTTCAATGACTGATGAAAGAGTGAAGACTTCATGCTTCCACTCATCTTCATTTACTTTTAAGGCCTTTTTCTTTCTGAAACTTTAAAAATTGATTTTGTGATAGTGTTTTTATTTCTACTCTTATACTCTATAACTTTAGATAGAAAAGTATCTCAGTCTTTTGAGGTTTATGCTCTAGGAGAGCATGAATGATTCTTTTCATGTGTTTCGATAAGTATATGTAAAAAATATTAACAAAGATGTGACCATTGTGACAAGGATTAGATTTGTAGTTGAAATTTTTCTGCAATATTCAGGTCCATATGACGTTGTATTGTTACCTTTCTGTTAACAGCTTTGTGTCTCTTAAGCTGGAAAGCAGGGGATAGTCTTAAACTTGTTTGAATTGCTCTTAGTTTTCAGAATAGATGTTTGTCTACCAAAGAGTTAATAAAGAGCTATATTAGTTCCAGTGTTTGTACTGTTTAATGTAAAAATTCCCCAGAGTAATCACTGGTTATGTTTTCTTTTGATGTACATTTAAAAGGATATCTTCTGCAATTTTTTGCTTGCTTAGTAAGAAAGAAGGATAGACCTTGTATTCCACTGTGTTTTCAATTTTTTTCTTAATTGTTAGTTATGAATCACTATGCTGTTTTCACAAACTAATTTCCCTTTTTATTACTGTTTATAACTTTGTTATCCAGTTAGTTCACTGTTGTCTTTTCAGTAAATATCCATTAAGTAGCCCAGTTGTTCTTTTATGCAGTTTAGGTAAAGAATGTTAAAATTGGTGCTAAGTGCAAATATTCAGTTTGATCACATTAAGATTTGTAAAAATTTTTACTTAATGAAGGAGAGTTGAGAGCATTGGGTGGGACTGCCCTAATTTCTTATACTGCTAGTTATTGTATATACTGCTACCAGATAAATATTTGTAAGTCACCAGTCTGATCACATCATTTTTAATAAATCTCCAACAGCTTCCTTGGTTCTAAGAATCAAATTTTAAAAACAAAACTTAGTATTTATTAAGCATTTTTTTCTTTGCTAGGCACTTAACATTAAAGAAAAAATTAGTTCTTAAATTTGTATAGATAGGCAGCCCCATTTTATAGATGGGGAACCATGTCTCAAGAGGTTTAGGGCTTTACTATTGTCATAAACTAGTAAATACTAGGAGTTGAATTTGAAATCAGTTCTATTTACTCATGGTTTTCTACTACTAATGTTGCTCCTTCAACATGGCAATATTTTATTTATTACCGAATTGAAGCTAATAAACATTTTGCTTGAATATCAGATGGCTGATATTGTTAAAATTAATATTTGGTTGAGGCTGATAGGATGAACTTAGAGAATACAAGAATAAATCTGAAATTTTATTTTAAAATATTATTGTACTAGAAATATTAGAATTTAAATTTCAAGAATAATTTCTCTTTACCGTTAGTTGTTAGTATAGCAGATGTGCAGCACAACCTAAATAGATGTTAACTTGCAATTTTGAGGGTAGTGGAGAAGCCACATATTGGGGGCAGGTAGTGGTTCTTTTCTTACCTTTCTTTTATTTTTTTCCTCATGGCCTTTTTATTCTTTTATTTTGTCTGGATTGAAGATAATTTTCACATATGTTGATGTGCATGACTGGATATTTTCCTCGTGAAATTTTGATGTGGTAGAAATGATGTATTGCTTTTCCTTCAACCTCAAAAGAATGTGAAGAATCTCCAAATAAAACCTTCGTAAGAGACTGATTCATTGCTTCCACACAAATAACCTAAATTAAATTACGTGCAATTCTTAAAGTTTATTTGATGTTGTTGGTATATCAAATAATTCTAAAAGATTTTCTCAAATATATAATCGTAAAATTCTTTAGCTTTGTGCTACTCAAAATGTGATCTCTGAGCTCTTTGTAAATGCTCAGAGGGAATAAATGCAGAAATCAAAAACATTTAGAAACAATTTGACAGTAATTTTGTGTCTCTTGAATCTAATAAGCAACTGGGACCTCGATTTTTTAAACATTTCATTCATTGTATTTTTAAAAATTGACTTACAGATATGAAATAAAAGTTGGTCCTTAGATCGTTTGAGAAGCATTGATCTAGTTAAACGCTGTCGTTATTTGTATTAGCTGTTCATTTATTTCTATTTCCTTGTTTAAGTATATAAATATCCTTAATTGGTATTAGATATAAAATTTGATAGATTTCACAGGAGTATGTTGAAACTTCTTGAAAATTTTTTTTAATTCTAAAATCTTGCTAAATTCATATGAAATTCCATTTTAGGGAATAAGTTTTGAGGAACCATGTTACAGAAAGCAGATAGTTTTTTAAAGTTGTGAGAGAGTTGTTAATGCAACTAGTATGTTTTAGTTATCGTCAAACATAGCCAGCCTCCAGTCAGAAAAGGCAGGAAAATTGAGGGAGGGGAAAGGACTAGTTGTTTCCTCAAACTCATAGGAAGAAGTAGAAACAAAATGCACATTTGGTTAAGAGGGTTTTATTTTAAAGTTTGTAAGATCACATTAAAATTTGTATTTAGTTTTTTTAGGTGTTAGATTTGCCTTACATTTTGAGGTCATCTTGCATTTATAACAGTAAATCATAAACTGTCTTTGGTGATTTCTTAAAATACATGTAACATTGTTAACTTGCCTGGTGCTTTGTTATGAACATCTTTAATATGTATATAATTTGACATGTGTAATTCATGATTAAGATTTGTCCTTTTTCTCTTTCTAGGAAGATGATCCATATGATCTTGAAGACCTTTCTGCACAGAAATGAGGGAAATACAAAGAACCAAATATCGTTCTGAAATTCGGGATCTGTATTTTGAGATGATTTTATTTTCAGAATGAGAAGTATATCTGGTTATCTTTATGAATGTAGAGACATGACAAGAGAGTTATGATGGCAAAAAACAAAGAGCCTCGCCCCCCATCCTATACCATCAGTGTAGTTGGACTCTCTGGGACTGAAAAAGACAAAGGTAACTGTGGAGTTGGAAAGTCTTGTTTGTGCAATAGATTTGTACGCTCAAAAGCAGATGAATATTATCCAGAGCATACTTCTGTGCTTAGCACCATTGACTTTGGAGGACGAGTAGTAAATAATGATCACTTTTTGTACTGGGGTGACATAACACAAAGTGGTGAAGATGGAGTAGAATGCAAAATTCATGTCATTGAACAAACTGAGTTCATTGATGACCAGACTTTCTTGCCTCATCGGAGTACGAATTTGCAACCATATATAAAACGTGCAGCTGCCTCTAAATTGCAGTCAGCAGAAAAACTAATGTACATTTGCACTGATCAACTAGGCTTGGAGCAAGACTTTGAACAGAAGCAAATGCCTGAAGGGAAGCTCAATGTAGATGGATTTTTATTGTGCATTGATGTAAGTCAGGGATGCAATAGGAAGTTTGATGATCAACTTAAATTTGTAAATAACCTTTTTGTCCAACTATCAAAATCAAAAAAACCTGTAATAATAGCAGCAACTAAATGTGATGAATGTGTGGATCATTATCTTAGAGAAGTTCAGGCATTTGCTTCAAACAAAAAGAACCTTCTTGTAGTGGAAACATCTGCACGATTTAATGTCAACATTGAGACATGTTTCACTGCACTGGTACAAATGCTGGATAAAACTCGTGGCAAGCCTAAAATTATTCCCTATCTGGATGCTTATAAAACGCAGAGACAACTTGTTGTCACAGCAACAGATAAGTTTGAAAAACTTGTGCAGACTGTGAGAGATTATCATGCAACTTGGAAAACTGTTAGTAACAAATTGAAAAATCATCCTGATTATGAGGAATACATCAACTTAGAGGGAACAAGAAAGGCCAGAAATACATTCTCAAAACATATAGAACAACTTAAACAGGAACATATAAGAAAAAGAAGAGAAGAATATATAAATACTTTACCAAGAGCTTTTAACACTCTTTTGCCAAACCTAGAAGAGATTGAACACTTGAATTGGTCAGAAGCTTTGAAGTTAATGGAAAAGAGAGCAGATTTTCAGTTATGTTTTGTGGTGCTAGAAAAAACACCTTGGGATGAAACTGACCATATAGACAAAATTAATGATAGACGGATCCCATTTGACCTCCTGAGCACTTTAGAAGCTGAAAAAGTCTATCAGAACCATGTACAACATCTAATATCAGAGAAGAGGAGAGTAGAAATGAAGGAAAAATTCAAGAAGACTTTGGAAAAAATTCAGTTTATTTCACCTGGGCAGCCATGGGAGGAAGTTATGTGCTTTGTTATGGAAGATGAAGCCTTCAAATATATCACTGAGGCTGATAGCAAAGAGGTGTATGGTAGGCATCAGCGAGAAATAGTTGAAAAAGCCAAAGAAGAGTTTCAGGAAATGCTTTTTGAACATTCTGAACTTTTTTATGATTTAGATCTTAATGCAACACCTAGTTCAGATAAAATGAGTGAAATTCATACAGTTTTGAGTGAAGAACCTAGATACAAAGCTTTACAGAAACTTGCACCTGATAGGGAGTCTCTTCTACTTAAGCATATAGGATTTGTTTATCATCCCACTAAAGAAACATGTCTTAGTGGCCAAAACTGTACAGACATTAAAGTAGAGCAGTTACTTGCCAGCAGTCTTTTGCAGTTGGATCATGGCCGCTTACGGTTGTATCATGATAGTACCAATATAGATAAAGTTAACCTTTTCATTTTAGGGAAGGATGGCCTTTCCCAAGAGCTAGCAAATGAGATAAGGACACAATCCACTGATGATGAGTATGCCTTAGATGGAAAAATTTATGAACTTGATCTTCGGCCTGTTGATGCCAAGTCGCCTTACTTTTTGAGTCAGTTATGGACTGCTGCCTTTAAACCACATGGGTGCTTCTGTGTATTTAATTCCATTGAGTCACTGAATTTTATTGGGGAATTTATCGGAAAAATAAGAACGGAAGCTTCTCAGATCAGAAAAGATAAGTATATGGCTAACCTTCCATTTACATTAATTTTGGCTAATCAGAGAGATTCTATTAGTAAGAATCTACCAATTCTCAGGCACCAAGGGCAACAGTTGGCAAACAAGTTACAATGTCCTTTTGTAGATGTACCTGCTGGTACATATCCTCGTAAATTTAATGAAACCCAAATAAAGCAAGCTCTAAGAGGAGTATTAGAATCAGTTAAACATAATTTAGATGTGGTGAGCCCAGTTCCCACCAATAAGGATGTATCAGAAGCTGACTTGAGAATTGTCATGTGTGCCATGTGTGGTGATCCATTTAGTGTGGATCTTATTCTTTCACCCTTCCTTGATTCTCATTCTTGCAGTGCTGCTCAAGCTGGACAGAATAATTCCCTGATGCTTGATAAAATCATTGGTGAAAAAAGGAGGCGAATACAGATCACAATATTATCATACCATTCCTCAATTGGAGTAAGGAAAGATGAACTGGTTCATGGGTATATATTAGTTTATTCTGCCAAACGGAAAGCATCAATGGGAATGCTTCGAGCATTTCTGTCAGAAGTTCAGGACACCATTCCTGTACAGCTGGTGGCAGTTACTGACAGCCAAGCAGACTTTTTTGAAAATGAAGCCATCAAAGAGTTAATGACTGAAGGAGAACACATTGCAACTGAGATTACTGCTAAATTTACAGCACTGTATTCTTTATCTCAGTATCATCGGCAAACTGAGGTGTTTACACTGTTTTTCAGTGATGTTCTAGAGAAAAAAAATATGATAGAAAATTCCTATTTATCTGATAATACAAGGGAATCAACCCATCAAAGTGAAGATGTTTTCCTGCCATCTCCCAGAGACTGTTTTCCTTATAACAACTACCCTGATTCAGATGATGATACAGAAGCACCACCTCCTTATAGTCCAATTGGGGATGATGTACAGTTGCTTCCAACGCCTAGTGACCGTTCTAGATATAGATTAGATTTGGAAGGAAATGAATATCCTATTCACAGCACACCAAACTGTCATGACCATGAACGCAACCATAAAGTGCCTCCACCTATTAAACCTAAACCAGTTGTACCTAAGACAAATGTGAAAAAGTTGGATCCAAACCTTTTAAAAACAATTGAAGCTGGTATTGGTAAAAATCCAAGAAAACAGACCTCCCGGGTGCCTTTGGCACATCCTGAAGATATGGATCCTTCAGATAACTATTCAGAACCCATTGACACAATTTTCAAACAGAAGGGCTATTCTGATGAGATATATGTTGTCCCAGATGATAGTCAGAATCGCATTATTAAAATTCGAAACTCATTTGTGAATAACACCCAAGGAGATGAAGAAAATGGATTTTCTGATAGAATCTCAAAAAGTCATGGGGAACGGAGACCTTCAAAATACAAATACAAATCTAAAACCCTATTCAGTAAAGCCAAGTCATACTACAGAAGAACGCATTCAGATGCAAGTGATGATGAAGCTTTCACCACTTCTAAAACAAAAAGAAAAGGAAGACATCGTGGAAGTGAAGAAGATCCACTTCTTTCTCCTGTTGAAACTTGGAAAGGTGGTATTGATAATCCTGCAATCACTTCAGACCAGGAGTTAGATGATAAGAAAATGAAGAAGAAAACCCACAAAGTAAAAGAAGATAAAAAGGTAAGTTTAATTTATGGTTCATAATGTTTCTAAAGATGTTTGCTTTTGACTTTTAAAAAATTATTTTTTAAGAGAATGGATTTGACATCAATGAGAACTTAGGCTGCCTGTGTTATTCAGTAAATATAATTGACAGCTCTTTTAAATTTTCTGAGTATTTTGTGAGGGCAGATTATTTTTTGTTACTTATTACATTTTATTTACTTGAGCTTTATCTTATTTGGGGTGGAAGTTTGATTTCATACTCTTCAGCATAAAAGTTCTAGCTGACTATGTGTGTTCTTTCTGCAGAAACTCAGATATAAAGTGATTTTGTTCTTTTCTTTCTGTTTGTAAGCATCCCATTTGTCTCTTTTTCCCTTTTGATCTACCATTTTGCAATATTAATTTGATACATTGACATAGCTTGTTTTATTGTGCTTTGCTTTTTGCGCTTCTCAGATACTGCATTTTTTACAAATTGAAGGTTTTTAGCAACCCTGCAACAAGCAAGTCTTCATCAGCACCATTTTTCCAATAGCATTTGCTTACTTCTTACCTGCTTCCATGTTACATTTTGGTAATTCTTGCAATATTCCAAACTTTTAGATTATTATATTTGTTACGGTGATCAGTGATCTTTGATGTTGCTGTTGCAAAAAGATTACAGCTCACTGTCAGCTCAGATGATGGTTAACGTTTTTTAGACTAGAAAACGATAGACAAAGATCTGGCAAGATTGATCAGATAAAAAGAGAAGGCATAGGGCTTCCCTGGTGGCACAGTGGTTGAGAGTTCGCCTGCCGATGCAGGGGACATGGGTTCGTGCCCTGTTCCGGGAAGATCCCACATGC